TCAAGCAGGAGCTGAGAGTCCAGGTGGACCTCAAGCCACGGACCCACGGCTTTAGGGGGAGCCCAACTAGTCCGGTATACTTACTGGGGCCAGCATTATGGGATTGCCCAGGCGTTTATTGACCAGCAACTCCATCCTGGGAGCATTTAATCTGAGCTTCTCCCCCCCCCCCATGCCCACCTAATCACAAGACTAGCAACTTCCGCAGCGTCTCCAGCTCAGCTCAGCTCGGGACCAAGTACAGCCAGGCAGCCTCCCATATTGATGATGCTTCACCCCCAAGCAGCCGAGGACCTCCCCAGCGATTTCGTGGAGATGTTAATGTCGGGGAGAGCTCTGAGCCCTGGGAACCCCACACGGGAACCCCCAGGGCCTGAGGAGAATCCAGGGAACGCGCTTCCTTACTGATGAGTAGAGCAAGCTAAGATGCGAAAGGTTTTGCGCAAAAAGCTTGGGGTGGCGGCTGAAGGCAGCAGGTGGAGACCCAGCCCTGCCTTAGACCCAAGGCCAGCTGGGGGGCTCTGGGCCAGCCCCTCCCTCGCAGCCGAAGGAAGAAGAGGGCAAGAGCGAACCCGGAAAACGCTGTTTTTGCTAGGAAAACCACAGGGATCTGTCCGGGCAGTTGCCAGGAGTCCAGACTGACTTGAAGGCACAAAAAGGATTTAAAAAGCAAACACGTGACCTCCAGCTTTTCCCCACCAATGCAACAGCGGCAGCCCCAAGAATAAACAATGAACAACAAGGCTGTCAGACTAAACGCGCTGCAAAAAGCAATAAAAAATCTAAAACAAAAAGCCCCGAAGAGCTGAACCTCATAATAAATCAGTTCAATTAAGCACCAGAATTAAACGCTGGCGTAACGAGCGATCTTGGCACGCGGAGAGAGAGGGCAGCCGCCGAGGGCCGGGAGGAGAATCTCCCCGGCGCTGCTGGAGCCGGTCTGCGGCCGATGCAAAAGGCCGGCCCGAGGGAGCTTATGGGGCAGGAGACTGCGCGGGACCGCCCCACGGAGCTTTCCCCTAAGCAGCTGAAGGAAAGGACTGGCTCCTTCCTTAGCCTTGGAGACAGCCTGGAACAATCCAAGGGTCCCCTGCCGGTCCTGCGCAGCTCCCGAGGGACTTCGAGGGCAGCCGCAAATAAAACACACCGCGGTCACCAAATGAGCTACAATCAACGCGAGCAGGAGCAGGAGCAGGAGGATCCACAGGTTAAGAGAGACTGGAGGTGCCATTCAACTCTAGGAAGTGAGACCAGCACCTGTGGGATGGCCCTGAGGATCTCCACTCCGCCAGGGTGCCCCACTCCGCCACTCCACTCTGCCCAGGGTGCCCCACGTGGGGCTGCTCCCCTCGCTACTCAGAGCCCCAACCCGTGAAACAGACGTGCTCCGGCCAACTGTCTTCATCCTTGCAGGAGGGGGTGTTCCCAAAGCCTTTCAAGGAGGCTTTGGTCTGCCCCCTCCTCAAGAAACCGTCGTTAGATCCCACCCTTCTGGACAATTTTTGTCCAGTCTCCCACCTCCCCTTTCTAGGAAAGGTGGTGGAAAAGGTGGACGCGCAGCAGCTTCAGAGGATCCTGGAGGAAACGGATTATCTGGACCCCCATCAGAGGCTTCAGGCCCAGTTATGGGACAGAAACAGCATTGGTCGCACTTCTGGATGATCTCTGGCGAGAGCGGGATCCATCCATCCTTGCTCTTCTTGACCTCTCAGTGGCTTTCGATACCATCGACCACAGTATCCTTTTGGGTCGGCTGCAGAAGTTGGGGCCGGGTGGCACAGTGCTGAGCTGGTTCAGCTCCTCTCTCCAAGGCCGAACCCAATCTGTGTTGATAGGGAGTGAGAGGTCCAACCTGTGGCCCCTACTTTGTGGGGTGCCTCGGGGTTCGGTGCTCTCGCCACTCCTATTTAACATCTACGTGAAACCGTTGGGTGAGATCATCTGTCACCACAGGATGAGGTATCATCAGTATGCTGATGATACTCAACTATATATCTCCATCCTGGGTGACCTAAGTGATGCTGTGACTACCCTCTTGTGGTGCCTGGAGGCTGTAGGAGCCCGAATGGGGGACAACAGGCTTGAACTGAACCCTGGTAAGACGGAGTGGCTGTGGGTGTGCGGAGCCTCAAGATCTAGGAGTTTATCATCTTTGGTTCTTGACGGGGTCACACTACCCCAGA